AGCTGCCAGGACCCGACCCAGTGGACCAGGCTCTGGAGGGTGGAAGACGTGGAAGGATGACAAGGGCGGTCACGACACCGAGCTGACTGTCGGTGAAGCGTGGCCAGTAACAGCACGAAAAAGTTGCCTGGCTATCGCGCGCGATGGCCCATGCTATCCGCACAGCTCCGCCCGTGAGGGACTGTCCGCGCATTCCAGCAAATGTGCAATACTAGTTCTGCGCGTTCAGTGAAATCAGAATTGCCTCTGTACGTCGGTGTTGCGTGTTGTGCCCAATACAAAAAATGCGCGCACAAGAGCTCTGCACCAGACGTTTACCCTTTGGCATTATGTGTTGACATACCCCACCACAACCTCATCTCGCCACAAGTGTGCAACATGACTGCGCGCATGTACGTGTGAATTGGTTGCGTGAGATCGCATGCTTCAGACCTTGCGCATGGAGCATTGGCTCGTCGATGGTCCCAACTGAAGTGGTCACACAACCAGCCATGCGTTCTGGAATCATACCATACGAACGCGTGACGGAAGGAACACAGATCTTCGCACTGCGTGCGTCTCCACTGGGATCGTGCGCTTTCTCATTGGGTGCAGTTCCTCTTCGACTGTACGGAAATCACAACACCGCTGCCACGCACGGCCCAACCCCATCCACAGTGCGCCTTTCTGGTAAAGGGGGGCGGCGGCGATCGCCAATGATCGCTTCGATCAAGTGCGGGAGAGGGCAAAGGGGTATTGCTGACGCTGTCTTTACCCCTGGCCCTGAGCGTTGCCAGTGCATGCACGGCGCGCAAGATGGCCCCCGCGCCCTGCAAATTGTGGCCCCTGCGTGCTGCCAGGCTAGCGGTCTCGGTGTGGCGAGATGGGGAAGGTCTTGCCAGAGGCTGAACACGCAATCGGCCGCTACCTCGAGCAAACCACACTATTCCCTGAATGGTCGACCTGGGCGGGGTGTTGAGAAGACAAGCTGTTCAAGGGCGTGCGGCGAGGCCTTCACGGAGCGGAATCCATCGCGATTTGGCGATTTGTCTTCGCAGGCATCGACCAGGGAGGATGCTCTGATACACCTTGCGCTGCAGAAGACTCCCCTGTCTTGTCTGACTGTCGGGGAAAGAACCGGGGCATCTGGAGGCCTCTTGGTGGACTATCGGGAGCCTCTGGAGGGTTTGGGAGCCATCTTGCGGGGCAGGGTTCATGTGGTCCGTTCGCGGACCCCCTTTGGGGCCCTTCTTAGGGCCGTTTTGGAAGCCTCTTGTCGGCCTCTGGTTGGGCAGAGCCGGGGGTACATATACGTTCACATGCGCTAACAAGCACTCGCAAGAGTTTGCGGGCGCTGGCAGACACTCACAGGCGCTCACAGGCAGTTGCCGGGCGCTAACAGACGCTCACAGGCGACCACGCCCTACGTCATTCTCCTCATCTTCTTCCTCCTCCTCTCCTTCATCCTCCCCCTCGGCCTCCCCTCTTGCCTACCTAATCTGGTCCACAGGAGCTCACTAGCGCTCACGAGGCCCCCCAAGCGCTGCCACGCGCTCATGGGAGTCCGCAGGCGCGTCCACAGACACCTACTGGCGCTCCAGGGAACCCAATTTCCAAAATTGACCTAGAACGAAGGATTCCCCAAACTATATATATATATATATATATGTACATATATATAGTTATGTCTCTCATACTCATATCATGTACCACCCTCCGGGCGATAAGGAAGTTCGGAGAGATGCTTTCGACGTGCATGTCGATTTGCATTTCGGGTGCACTTGGATGTGCATGTCGATATTCATGTCGAATGCGATGTGATAGGCGTTTCGATGTGAAGTTCGACGGCAACTAGGTTGCAAGTGGGTTTTCAGTGCGATTGCATTTCGATGGTGCGTGGCCGTTCATGAACATGCAGTCCGATTGCACTTGACTTTGCGCTTCGACACTCAATTCGTTGTGCCTCCGATTTGAACTTCAAACAGACTGTAATATCGGTGTGCGTGTCGATCCGTCTATCGTCTGCAATATGACTTGCCGATTTCCCAGCAAGACGTGCGCGTGATATCAACAAGAAAACCCGCGAGCCAAGCACGGGACAACCCCCGGGACAACCACGGGACAACCCACGGGATCACTACGGGACAACCCACGGGACAACCACGGGACAACCCGCGGGACAACCCACGCGACAACCACAGGATCACCATGAAATCACCACGGGATGACCCACAGGACAAACATGGGACAACCCATGAAACAACGATGGGATAACCGAACCAACTGCACAACCCACGAAACAACAACGGGGCAACCCACGGTACAAACGCGGGACCATCTCGCAGGCCATACTGAGATACTGGAGGAAAACCTGTATGCTAGACTTGGCCCTAGTTTTGACTGACACATCATCGCCCTCGCGCAACTTCGCCTCGCCCGCATACACGACAAGATCCGATTGGGCGTTGCTGGATGGGGGGCGATAACTGGGAGGATGAAGAAAGGTGCACCTTTCGTGTACCTTCGGTGCCCGAAAGGGGCCACCTGGAACCCAGAAGGTGCACGAAAGGTGCACGTGCCTTCACCCCCCCCGTCCACCGCCCCCGAACTGAGCAACGCCCAATCAATTACCGGTGGAGACCACTTCGCTCTCACCCCCGAACCTCCGATACAGTCAACCCGTATCGTAAGGATGCGCGGTGAGGATGCAAGGGCCTCGGAGGCCCATGTGAACGTTTTCCGAACGAGGGTTGGCCAGCGAAGGGGGCCAAGGATGGGCCGAAGGGGCGGGGATGCAAAAGGGCATCCTTGGGAAGGCTGCCCCTCCGTACCACGCGGGTCGACTGCAAACCGAGCTGCCGAGGAGCGGGCGCCGGCCCAGCTCCGACCCGGCGCTTCGCCCCCGAAGCCGGCACGCGCGCCATCTGCGGCCCACCGGTCCTGCCGCCACTTCCACTGCCGTCCTCGGCACCAGCACGGCTCAGCGCGGGCAGACACGGAGTGCCCCACACCGGGACACTTGAGACTGTTGGTGCGCTGCCATGTCTGCGCCACCTGGGCCGTGCTCTCGAGTCCGAACTGCGGCAGACGTCCCATACTGCACACAAGACAGGCTTCACCTGCAGGGCAAGTCGGTGTCGTTCCAATGACGCACCCACTCCTGCAAACTGAAGCAAGACAATCAAGGCCACTACTGAGTGCTCCGACGCAAACTGATGCCTCGCGAAAGAATAGATAGAAGTATGTCAGTGCGGCAGCGCTGCTTCACAGCGGGGGCCAAATAGGCCAAAGAGGCAAGCTGCGCGAGGCTGACGGAAAACAGCAGCGCGAAACTCACAATAGAAGGCACGGTACTTATCCTCGCGGCTGCCAGGGTCGGGGGGGGGGCAGCCGATGGACGGGTGGAAAGGCCCAGGGGACGACAGATGCAGGGGATGGCAGAGGCAGAAATTGGGCAGGGATCGAGTCAGGGATCGACTACAGAATTGATTCACTCCAAAAATCTTGGCCTTTCTCTTCTAGCCCGCGGAGAATGCGTAGAACGCTGGTAGATCTACGAGAATTCTACGCAGTCGTCTACAGACTCGACGTCAAAATTATTTGTGGGGTGAATCGATCAGCTCTGTAGAATTGTTTCCCCCCAAACTGATCTTTCTCGCCGAAGCCATAGAAAATGCGTGGATCGTGGGTAGATCTACGAAAATTCTACGCGTTCGTCTACAGATCCGACGTGCACATAAATTCTGGGGTGAATCAATTCTGTAGTAAATCCCCTACTCTTAGGTCGGGCATGTCCTCCTACAGGCGGATTGTCGATGAAAGCTGAAAGCAAAAAAACATACTGGCGAAGGACCCAGCCATACGCAAGTGTAAGAACGTCAGGGCAGGTGGGACGAAGCAAGGGGAATTCCCAATGGGCCACGAACCCTGTGAGGGGTGCGCCAACATGGGGCGGGGCCGCCATGCGAACACTGCCACTGGGGCATTCGGTGGAGCCCCCTTTGGGGCCACGAACCGTGTGAGGGTTGCGCCGAAATGTGGTGGGGCCGCCATGCGAACCCTGCCACTGGGGCCTTCGGTGGAGCTCCCTTTGGGGCCACGATCCTCGTGAGGGGTGTGCCGAAATGGGGAGGGGCCGCCATGGGAACCCTGACACTGGAGCCTTCGGTGGAGCTCCCTATGGGGCCACGAAGCGTTGTACATGGTAAAGGCCTCCATGCGAACCCTACCGCTGGCGCCTTCTGTGGAGCTCCCTATGAGGCCACGAACCTTGTGAGGGGTGTGCCGAAATGTGACGGGGCCGCCATGCGAACCCTGCCACTGGGGCCCTCGGTGGAGCTCCCTATATGGCCACGGACCGTGCGCGGGGTGTGCCGAAATGTGACGGGGCCGCTATGCGAACCCTTCCACTGGCGCACTCGGTGGAGCTTCCTATGGGGCAACGATCCTCGTGATGGGTGCGCCGAACTGGGGCGGGGCCGCCATGCGAACCCTGCCACTGGCGCCCTCGGTGAAGCTCCCTACGGGGCCACGATCCTTGTCAGGGGTGCGCCGAAATGGGGCGGGGCCGCCAAGCGAACCCTGCCACTGGCGCCTTCGATGGAGCTCCCTATATGGGGCCACGGACCGTGTAAGGGGTGCGCCGAAATGGGGCGGGGCCGCCATGCGAACCCTGCCACTGGCGCCCTCGGTGAAGCTCCCCACAGGGTCACGATCCTCGTGAGGGGTGCGCCGAAATGGGGCGGGGCCGCAAGCGAACCCTGCCACTGGCGCCTTCGATGGAGCTCCCTATGTGGGGCCACGGACCGTGCGCGGGGTGTGCCGAAATGGGGCGGGGCCGCCATGCGAACCCTGTCACTGGGGCCTTCGGTGGAGCTCCCTATGTGGTTGCCACGAAGCTTGTGAGGGGTGCGTCGAAATGGGGCGGGGCCGCCATGCGAACCCTGCCACTGGGGCCTTCGGTGGAGCTCCCTATGGGGCCACGATCCTCGCAAGGGGTGTGCCGAAATGGGGCGGGGCCG